CGTGCACCATTTATTTCCTCCAGAGACAAGCTGAGGGTGGACAGGTGGGAGGGACGAGTCTCCGCGCGGTCAGGTTTCTCACGGGAGTGCCAGGCTCCCCAGCACGCACTTCAGTGTCACCAGCCGGCATTCGGACGACACTATTCCGAGTCCACGTCACTCATCCACCTGCTGATGGGATTTCACTGAGTTTGGTCTGGCCAGCTTCTGAAACTACGGCATAAACACACTTAACTATCTTCTGTATTTTTTCTTCTTTCTCTATTTACATCATTAATTTCTTGAGGAAAGGGACCAAATCTTCATGAGCTGTGACCACACGAGGAATTTTAACGGCTGACATCTGAGTGCTTGCTGTGCCCCAGGCCACCTTGAGCCTTTTTTACACCTTCCTTACTTAATCCCCACACGAACCCTTTGATTAGAGGGGTTCTGTGCAATAGGCAGGTGCGAGCTCTTCTTATAAAAAAGGAAATGTAGCTTAAGTCTTAACTCCGGCACCCACACCGGCAGCGCGTGCCTGGGCCGGGATTTGAAAGCCCACGGTCTTGACCAGCAGGCTGCAGTGCCTGCTTGAAAGGTTACCATGACTTTCCTTTTTACACTCCTTAGGGCATTTCTTAAGCGTGGTAGCATTTTCTATAACGACTCTCAAAAATGTGTATCTACTCAGTGGAGTAAATGCAACATGTAAGCTTTTGGAGGCTGGCACTGGGAATCTTAGCAGAGTTGTACTGAAATCATTTTCTCTTTTTTTTTTTTCTTCTAGAGGAAAGAACAACACATCTTTCAGAATGGAAGAGAAAAGTGATTTTGACTCAAAGCTGGAAATCTATAGCCAAGTTATTTTAGAATATTTCCCTCTTTCCCTTCTTTGTGCTTTGTGTATTTTTTTTAATTCTAAAGAATATACGAGAACTTGCTTCACTTACCTGCCCTTCAAAGCAAATTTCAATGAAATTGGTTCCGTTGAGATGACTCTGAGTTCTTAGTATAGAAATTATTTGAATAAAGTTGCTCAATTAACGTTTTTAACATTATCCTTTATAGGCCTATTTTCCCCATTTTTTTTGTTGTTGGTGGTGGTAAATTTAGAGGTGTCCGGAGGATTCTCTAAGGTTAAGCCCTGGACACAGTGATCCTGGAAGGAAGACACAGCTGTTTAGTCTGTTAAGTTCACACCCATGGGACTTGGTATCTCCCACATTAGGAGGCAGCAGATTGAATCACCATAAAACTCACCTATAAAACATGATTCCTAACATCTTAATGTTTTTAGATGAAAACATTGCATTTAAACAGCCTGTGATGGTCCCAAAGCACCCCCGCAGCCCCTCGGCATCCATGATGGATCATGACTTTCATTAAGCTATTTATAATAGGATATCACAGTGACTTTTTTAACAGAATATTTCAGATATTTGGAACACGGTGACAAATCTCATGTGCCCCCCATCCTGAGTAAACGGTTGTTAATATATTGCTGTGCATTATGGATTTTATAAGTGAAATGTTAGAGAAGATTAAATTATGCTCCTTTCTTTCCCGCCCACCTCCCCCAAGGCGACCACTCCCTGGGCTGAGGCACCCTTCCCTCCTGCACTGTGTGTTTTAGTCAGCTCTGGCTACCCTAACGAAAACTAAACCCTGGGTACTTAAGCAACAGAAGTTTGTCTCTGGAGGCCGGAAGCCTGCGACCAGGGAGCCTGTATGGCGGGCTCTGGGAGGACGCTCTCCCGGCCCTACAGATGGCCGCCTTCTCACCACGTCACACCCCAGTGCCTCTGTCAGGGCACTGATCCTGTGATGGGGCCCCACCCGCATGAACTCATCTACACCCAGTCACCTCCCAAAGGTGCCGTCTAGGCTACCATCACACGGGGTTAGAGCTTCCACGTGTGAATTGGGAGG